TTCTTGATGTACTTTTGCTTGCAGCGACTGATGAAGCCAAAGGGAAGCGATATCTGATTGGAGCACGGCCGATTCGGCGTTCTAAATGGAGTTTTGGTATGTTAGAAACTGAAATGATGAGCAGAAAAAGGGTAGCTGTCACTTACGTGCAAACCTCAACTTTAATAGCCTGCTTCAATCGAGGATCTCTCTCGCTTAGATTGACCACAAACTTCCACTGGCGTTTGTCGTTAAGAGCCGCTTTTGGCTCGATCAGTATCATTCGACTGGGGCAGACTGGCTCAATGGGCAACTCGGTGGCCCTTCCTCCTGCCTGTCGCTTGTACCGACTGTGCGAGACGGCCACTGCAGAGGCGGAGGCATACGCCCCAAGCTCATGCGGACCCGAGTAGCTATTCGCGTAGATGGATCGCTGCTGGTGGTGATACGGCGGAACGGTGGCGCGGTACTTTTCGCCGTAGTACGGTTTGTAGTCAAAGTTGTGGAAGTGCGCAATGGGCTGTTGCGGAACGTTGAAACCACCACCAAAAGAGTGTCCTCCCAGGGAGTGCTGCAGAAAGGGCTCCGGCTCTGGCCAAGGCTCCTCGGACAGGTTCGGCTCTGGATCGTTTTCACTTTCATCGACAAACTCACTGCTAATGTTGAAGCGCTTTGCACGGGCCATCTTCACCACCGAGAAGACCTCGTCGATAGGGTAGAAGGGTGCCACCTTGCTGCACACTGTCCGCCCCGTCTCTGGGCAGAACTGCGGCCCGGGAAGGTACTGTTTGTAGTACTTTCGATACGGAGTGTACGACTGACTGTACGACGGTGGTGGTGGCGGCGGTGGGACGTAGTCATAACCACTACTGTACTGCTGCTGCTGCTGTGGCGAGTGGTAGGAAGGGTCATAGCTGCCATAGCTTCCCCCGCCGTAGGGTCGATTGCCCTTATAGTAGCCGGGGTCGTAGCCCGAACTGTGACTGTGAACGACAAAGAGGGCAAGGCAGAGGAAGGCAGTGTGCAGCAGGGGAAAATGCCTCTTCAGTTGCGTACTCGAGAAACAGGAATGCTGATTGGATTTGGCAGAGGACCGTGGAAGGTGACTGAGGGGACTATTTCGGTGTGGCTGCAGTTGCTGCTGATCGTCATCTTCCAAGTTAGAGTGCTCTGCAGCGTTTAACTGCTGCTGATGATGATGATCCATTTGATCAGAAGGGATACGGCTGACTGAGGAAGGTAAAGGGTGACACACTGCCGTTCAAGTGATGAGCGCTGCTGTTTATGGGCATCGAGCAGGGTTTTGCCTTATTTTCTTCCGTTTAACTGCTGCTTCTGCTACGATTATTTTCGTTGCTTATCTTCTAATTAGTCATCGTAAAGGTAGTGAAATGTGGTGAAGAAAAAAGTACGCACTAAACACTGTACATGGAGATTGAAATGTTGAGCAAGAGTGTGTCTGTGTCTTCACCGGCACGAGGTGACAGAGGTGATTGAGATTGCAAACTGTCGAAGAGGAGAAAAAGAGGAAATGAATATTCACAGCACTAAGGGAGAAAAAGAAGAAAAAAGCAGACGACGACGGCGACGACAAGTGTGCTGCACTGACGGGTGGCTAAGTTCAGGCGATGGTGAAGTTTAAACGAACAGTGGAACAGGCAGACAGCCGTGCGTGCAGCGGTGATGAATGGTAATGAGAGGACTCCGACAGACTGTCTGCTGAGGAATGAGAAGGGAGATGCTGGAGAAGAAGTGAGGAGAGAGNAAGAAAAAGAGGAAATGAATATTCACAGCACTGAGGGAGAAAAAGAAGAGAAAAGCAGACGACGACGGCGACGACGAGTGTGCTGCACTGACGGGTGGCTAAGTTCAGGCGATGGTGAAGTTTAAACGAACAGTGGAACAGGCAGACAGCCGTGCGTGCAGAGGTGATGAATGGTAATGAGAGGACTCCGACAGACTGTCTGCTGAGGAATGAGAAGGGAGATGCTGGAGAAGAAGTGAGGAGAGAGAAAGTTGAAGAGAGTGAGCTGGTGAAAAGGTGCAGAGGCGGTGGCACTGTTGCAGTTGGGGAGTGGAAAAGACGTCGCAGATGATGATGATGAGGAGGTGGATAGTGTGTGGTAGAGAGAAAAAGCACAGTCAGGTCAAGGGTGGTCGGAAGGCACACCACCAGGATGTGTGCTTTGCAAGCCTGAAGCCTTTCTTCATCGACACCTCTTTCTTTCCTTTTCGCACTCTTTTTCAGAGAGAAAGTGACTTGGGGCAATAATTCGATGATCAGTGGTGACCACTTTCATTTTAGGCACAATTGTTTTCTCCTCCGAGGAGTTATGTCTCCGGAAGGACGCCGTCAGGTGCTGATTTGCAAGTAGAAGCTAAAACTGAAAGTTGAGGTGTCGAGGATGATAACAACCAAGGAACTTAAAACGTTGATAATAAATACCAAACACACAATACCCGAAGACAATAAACAAAGTACAGGTCAGATGATCATGAAGCCTGGCAGTGTGTGTGTGTGAGTCTGTGTGCATCAACAGCCACCACCAAATGGACACTGACCAAAATGACACTCGCTTTGCCGGCGAGTATCCATCACCTCACCGACTCTTCGAGAGGCTGCAAAATTAGTCCGCACATCAGCACAACGGCTAGCACACCGGCAGCTATGGCATTTAGATTGCGGAAAGCGGATTTAGCTGTGAACAGTTGTGATAGAGTCGGAGAGAGCTAGCGAGAGAGTCAGTGGATGTTTTTCGCTCAGCTCTGTGACCACGAAGGGGACATGAGCACTGACTGAATGGTCAGTGAAACCGACATGGCCGACAGAGCGCTTTCACCGCAAGAACGAGATTATTGACGGCATTTTTGCGGTAAAAGTTATCTCCTTGAAGATGCGTCTTCCATTTTTACCCATCACCGTTTTGAGGTGCCTATAAATAGCATATCGTTTTCTCCGTTTTGACCAGAGAAAAGTGTCCAGATTGAGAGAGGACACACCGTCATCAGCACGGCAAGGCACAGCACCACTACCACAGCTCCAACAAATGGACACTTTTTAATAGACAATTTGTTAATTCACGGTCTAATTTAAAATGGTGCTGCTGTGGTCTTTTCGAAAATAGCTACCTAGCAAGAAAGAAAGAGAGAGAGAGAGAGCACTATCAACGGCCGCCGATAAAGGATAGGGTTAAGGGAATAGGCAGCAACTGCTCCATGACTGGACAGTGGGTCAGTATCCGGGCATTGAAGCACACTGATCATCTTGTCAGCCCGGTGACATCACTTATCGACGACTACTACCACTCTATTCAACGACCATTGCTAATTAAAATATCTATTTTCAGCCATCTGCGGCAGCAGGAACACCAATTAGATCATCTTTTTCTCTTTCTCCTTCTNCTGAAGCACACTGATCATCTTATCAGCCCGATGACATCACTTATCGACGACTACTACCACTCTATTCAACGACCATTGCTAATTAAAATATCTATTTTCAGCCATCTGCGGCAGCAGGAACACCAATTAGATCATCTTTTTCTCTTTCTCCTTCTTCTCTTTCTCTTTTTCGCCGCTTCGCTTTCCCTTAAAAAACGTCTGGCATCTTGTTCATCTCTTTCTCTATCGCTGGTTCGCATGAAATCTCAGTTTGAGACCGATTGAGCATTGAGGACTGATGGTGGTCTTCAAAAATAGAATCTGAACATCGAATTTTATTACCAGTCATCTTCAGTTCACACTGTTCCCTATCAAACAGCTTTCCAAAGAGCACCTGTGTCAACATGGCAACGTGCCTTCGAGCAGGTAAACAGTTGGGCAACATCCTTTTACCTTATTTTACACATATTCTCTCATTTTAAAGCCACAAAGACAAACACACAGGCATACAGTTTTGTGCTCATAGAAAGTGGTACTGTTAGTGAAAGTGTCACTAAAATTGAAATGTTGAAGAGGAATTAAACAGAAGAAAGATGCTTGTCGCTCTCAGCCCACGCACACACTCTCTTCTAGCTCGTAAATTTGCATTGTAAATTGGTCATCGATTCAGCTGCCGCTGGAACACTTTCACAGCACGTTCTCTGTGTAATTGACTTTTAATCGATTAGGCTGATCATTGCCCAGAAAGTTCAGCTTTCAATTTTGACACAATGAAAGATGGAGAGATTGAAAGAGACAAATTCAAACATGGCTGACAGGAGCACTATAAAATGGGCAAGTTCAGGCCGATCGATGGCTCTGATCACTGGTTCTGAGTAGCACCATAAGTCACAGTGTCACACTGTCAACCTGATTCCACACACTCTGCTGCTGTAATCCACACTTCGCTAATGGTGTGCTGTAGGGAAGAATAGCACCAGCTGCAACACTGACGACTGCAAATATTTTTGACAACGAAAGCATTAGCGTTCAGGCTATGCACTTCCATTTTCATCAAATATAAATAAAGAAAGCACACTGGCTGCTTTACATAGTGAAAGAAAAGCAAAAATCGATCATATCGCCAAAAAACAGCAATACCATCAGTGCACGAAGGGAAACAGAGGGGGAGAAGGAGTAGAAGGTCTACGGGGTGGGACATATTGCCTAACCAAAGTGCTGCATCGATGCGTCGAAAGCAGAAGAGAAAGGGGAAAAACACCGAAATGAGATTAACCAGGACAGAGTAAATTGTGTTCAAACAAAGCTAAAAAGGTAATGGAAGAAAAAAGGGCAAAAGAGGTAACACCAAAGTGACAAGGACATAAGGGTTCAACGTGCACAGAGGTGCAAGCAAATAAAGCAACACTGGTTCTTTCTTTCAGTGTCTCAGTTAACCTTGTTCCAACTGTTGGCCACTAAATCCATTGCGATCGATATCACCGCAACATCATTATCACGCGCTAATTGCTCGACGCCCAAGGAAAGGGAAGAGGGAAGGAGATGGAGACGCTGAGAAGTGCTAAGCAATAGACAAAGACAATTAAAAGCTGGCAACAATCGGTAACAATCGATGAAACATGATTAACGAGAGACTGCGCTTGACTGACCTTTAGGATTTCAGCTGAGCCAATATATCTCTGCCTGCTATTCATACCGAAAGCCACATTCATCGTCCATTGCAACACACACCCAGTATTTCACACGATTTCGCCTCTATTTTAGACGTAATTAAGAGTGGACACAGTGGACATAGAAGATTGCACGCCACCACTGTGGTTACAGCTCAAACGGTGCGTCTCCTTTACAGTCTCCCCTCGCTCAGCCTCTTCTTCTTCTTCTTCTTCGTCTTCAGGTGAGAAGAAAGTGGACGTGATCAGAGGGGCAAACGGTTATCGCATCACCGCCATCTTTATCGATATCACGACCTGTTGTTGCCTGCTACGGCTGAGGCAGTCGATGTCGATGGTGATACACGGCCAATGGCGAAATGTGCGCAATCTAAATATACATTACATAATCCGATTAGCTGAGAGTTGAAAAAAGAGTGAAAAGATAAAGAAGAAAAGAGAAAGCAGAGCAGATTCGCCAGCGGCAGTTGATCTGTTGATCTGATTATTTGATTGCCAATCTCACTGCCTAGAAAAAGAGTGAAAGAGAGAGAGAGAAAGAGAGAGAGAGAGAGAGAGAGAGAGAGAGAGAAAGAGAGGGACACCGACAAAGACAGGCAGACAATTGATCGAAGTTCACTGGTCTCCCCACACACAGACCATTAGCCGGCAGGCACAACAAACAAACAGTGTAATAAAAACAACGGAAGAAGAAATCGCTATATGATGGAAAATATATGGACAAAAAACGAAAAAGGTTTCACATTATCTGGAGAAGACAGTGTCTGGACTGTGTTTAATTCTCGATAGCCATCATCGACTGGCAGAGGGAGAAAAGCGAGGCAATATAATCGGAAACTATATTTAGAGTGCGTACCAGCCTGGTGGTCAAACCGATCTGGGAGATCGGTAGTGCAGATTATGACAGACACACACACACATAGACTGAAGTACACATTGCTGAGATACTGGCCACCGCTGCCACAGCTGGTCACGGGAACATCAAGAAAGGAGCCAGTCAGCCAACGATAATCGATCTGCTTGATTTGCTGATAATTACAGATAATGATTGACAAGGTGCGCTCTTCTACTGATTAGGCCTGCGACGCGATGTGCTTCTGGCTAATTTATGGGATTTGAAGAGAGAAGTCTCCTGAACACGTGAGATAAGTGTGGAAAACGAAAATGATGCCCATAACTTTCCACTAGTTCGGCCTACCTAGCAACTGAATTCATGAACACTCTCACACACACAAGTTCAGGAATATCCGACAATGTCTATAAATATCACCTCAAGACACCGTACATTGATGAAAAGTTTGTTTTTATTTTTAGTCACTTCTAATTTAGTAACTAAACAGTAACCACTACTGAACTAGGGAACCGGCAAGATGAATGAGCAAGATTTCACACCAGTTTCGATTGGAGGGTGAGATTAGTGCCAGCCTGAGTGAGCGCCTGCTCGTGATGAAGTATGGTAGTACCCTCCAGTGCATCGGTTGGAGACACTGCTTTGGTTTTTCCCGCATGAAAAACACTCTCCGGCCTAAAGTACTCTTTGTACAAAGGTGCCCTGCCTTCGGCGACACTACTGTACAGTAGCAGCAGTAGTAGTAGGCCTGTAGAACAAGTCAGAGCAACTGTAAATTATTTAAATTAAGGCAAACTCAAACTCTAAGCTTGTCGAGGCGAAACTAATTGACGGCGGCAGCAATATAATCAAGAGTCTGTGCGCTTGATTGCTAATTGAGATGTTGTCCTGAGTAGACAAGAGAAGCCCTTGTTTGAGGAAAAGTTGATCAGCAATGATGAGCACAAGTAGCAAGTAGTGAAATTTAATTTTGTGCTTCATTTCTAGCAAAAAATGCTGTTTACTGATGACAAAATTAGGCCCTTCTTCAGCGAGTAGTGCTAGCTGTACAGTAGCATCTTCAATGTCATAATGAGGCTTCCTGACTTTCCTAGAACTGCAAAGTGTGCTTGCTGTTTTCTGAGAATACGCACATAAAAAGAGAGACTGGCGTTCAGGAAACTAAAAAACTCCATAGTGAGCATCATTAAGAAAAGGGCAGTTTTGAACACGCAAATGAGAAGGTAAGAAAGAAAATCAATCGTAATTAAATTTAGAAGCAGTAAATGTAATAAAATATATGTTCTCTTTTAGTATCAGAGTATGAGTTATATCAGTAGTTGTAGTAGTAGTTGGTGTAGTTGAATATCAACTTGCAAATGAGTAATCACAATAAAGTTGTAGTGTATCATCAATCAATTTTGTGTGTAAATCAGAGTTGTGTAGGATTCAAAGAATAGAATAAAATTGTGCTGCGTGTATCGACTGAACATCCACAAACACAATTCAAGTCTTTCTACTTTTCAGTACAGTCAAACAGATCAGTTGAATGGGTAATACATTACACAAAGAGAGAACCTCATTGAAAAGGAGAATACATTTTCTGTAAAAGAGAAAAAGTGAATACTATTGTGTGATTGTAGATTTTTAGAGGTCAAAGGTCAAGAAAAAAAGTGTAAATAAAGCAAATACCCGACAAATGTGAAGGGGTTGGGTAGTTTGAGGTTGATCAGACTTGTGACACAATAGGTTTTTTTTGTATAATAGCAAAAATAGTGTGTGAATAGTATAATAACTTAAATGAATTGATGACAATTAATAAATAAAACCTACATAATGGTAGAATAGAGACGATGCGCTTCAGTTGGTCTAAAGACAGTCTCACTACAATAAAACACAGTCAAGGTTGTTGATGTCCCACTGCGACTGGTTGGTTCCAGCCGTTCCAGTTGCCTAAACAGCCAAAGTGTATCAGATGACAGTGTACATGCAAAAAAATTGAAAAATATGAAATCTAATTTAAAGTAAAACTTTTTTCCCTATAAGGAAACTTGATAGTTGAAAAGTTTATCATTCAGTCAAAAAAAGTAGACTGAAGTTGAAATATCACGATTGAGATTGTTTTGAGAGGTCCATTTACTAACGAACCTTCATTTTGTACAGGTAAAATCTTCTAGATCAGCGATCTACTGTTCTTTGTTTAAAGTTTCACTGATGAGTGTGTTTCAAAGTTCTTTGAAGAAAATCACAAGAATTGTAGTTTACCCTCGAAGGACCGTTTTAGTAAAAGTCGTTCGAGTGCGAAAAAGAGAGGAAAATAAGTTCGTAATAGTAGTTGTGGGTTCAATCATCGTCGAGTTTGGTAAACATGGCTATCATTGACAAGAGTTTGTCACAATTGCCATAATGTGCGTCCAAAGATCTTTCTTGTTTGCCTTGCTTTTGTTCTGATCTTTTAAACGATGAATTAGCTCATTGAAGCTTCTATTCCCATCGGGCAGCATATGATACACTGTCCGTGCCGAGCGAATGGTGCTGATAAACTCTTCATACTCTCCACTGGTGATGTGCTGTAGCTGAAAGTAGATGCATTCGGTAAACCTGTGCCAAGTGACAAAATAATTAGAATGATGTGCTTTCAAAATACTAAAAAAATGTCAAATTTTCTTACAGCTGTCGACACTTTTGGATGAGCTGATTCAGCATATGCGAGCGGATAGACGCCATGTACGGCTGCAGAGAACTAGAGCCATTCGGTCCAGACTGAGTCGAATGCTCAAATGAAGCATACACCTCATTGATAATCTCCAGCAGAACAAAAGGACTTCCAATGGCATTGGCGGAGTAGGCACAAAAGTCTTGCACAAATGAAGTGCCTACAAAACAAATGAAACAAAAAAGTTAAGAAACAGTCCACTGAATATCATTCCTCACTAAAGTGAGCCCACTTACCCAACTTCTTTGCCACCACCAGCAGCCACTTGACGTCCTCGCAGTACGTTGGATTCTTTGCGTACTTCGTCTGCGGTCGATCGTCATTGACCCGTCTGGCCAGCGTCTCCATCGCCAGCATGCCCACCCGGTACACCGAGTGCAGGTAGCTGAGCTGTCGTGGTGTCAGGTTGCAGTGACTGAAGGAGCTAGTGCTCGTCGGAGCCGGCACTGCGTGCACCGTCACCGATGGATGGTGCACCATTCCCCCATTGTGGTGCGCTCCGCCGTGATGAAGGTGTCCGCCGGTAAGGTAGGGCACGGCAGCCCCGCCCGACATTGGTCCGCCTGAGTTAGGGTAAGGGCCGAAGTAGGGGAAAGGGCCCATCACCGCTCCGCCGTACATCATCGTCGGCGCAACAGAGCACGGCGGGCCTCCATTGATCATGTATGCCGCCGCCGCCGTAGGCCCTGCCCGTCCGCTGTTTGGTCCTCCCATCATCTGCTGCGGTAGTTGCTGTTGTTGTTGTAGCTGCACTGAGCCTGGTCCCATCTGAAGTGCGGCTCCTCCGTTCATCTGCGCATGAGGATAGCCAAAGAATGGCGGAGGCACCCTAGGAGGAGCGGCCATCAAAGGCTGCTTCCCACTGCCGCCCCCGCCACCACTCAGCGGTGTCAGTTGGTAAAAGTTGGGCGTAAACGGGGAAAAGGAGAGCGGCACAACAGTGGGCGTCTGCGTCTGCGGCGGCGCCTGCTGAGAAGGTGTCCCAATGGGCGGCCCGGTCTGGTAGGCGTAGGGAGGTGTCGTGCTGCAGTACCTTCCGTTGGAAAGTGGCTGTTGATGAGGCATTGCAGTGATCATTGCGCCTTGGTAGTATCGAGAGGAGTTCATGTTGCCGTTAAACTGAGAATTCGCCTGATGGTACGGTGCAGAAGCCTGAAGATGGTGGTGGTAAGCGGGCTGATACATCGGTGACTGCTGGTGATGATGATGATGGCCATTTGTTGAAACGGCCATCATGTCTGAGGCATTGGCTGAGTCAGCCAAGTAAGCATTATCTCCCATGTAAAGGGCTGAGTCGTGGTAGAGAAAGGGAGAGAGCTCAACTGGCATCATCATGGCGCCATCGTGGCCGCTACCAGTGCCGCCCATTGCCATGTCAACTTCTCCGGAAGCACTCTGCTCACTGCCTGCTGGCAACTGCTGTACAGAAGACAGTGCTGAAGCTCGGGCCATTGAGGAGGAGGAAGAGGAGGCGGAGGAGGCTGAATCGTCCCTCTGAGTGGTTCTCCCACCCTCAAATCTGCCCTGATGTCTCGCCTTGATGGCCTCCTGGTCGTACAGCTCATGCCACTTGTGGGCGACGTGAAAGAGAACATCAGGGTTGACTCCGCCACCCTGAGCGGCCGACTCCACGGCCAGACACGCCCGCTCCAGCATCTCCGTCGACTGCTCCTTGCACTGAATGAGGGCGCGTTGAATTTCACTGGGCGTGAGGGCGTGCGAGTGCGGCAGACAGCTGAGCGCCAGCTGCGCCGCGGCGCTCACCATCGACTGCTCCTGGCCCCGGGAGGCCCGGTCGGCGAGTGAGGCCACCTCATTGGGCGTAAAGTGTCCCTCCCAGGTGTCAATGAGAAAGGCAATGGCCTGGTGGCCAATCTCCATTGCCTGCGCCGTGATCCACGACACCTGGCTGCTGTAGGTGCGGGAGAGCCAGTTGGGCGAGACGGCATTGTGCAGCCCCAGCGCGTAGAGGCCAATCTGAAAGGCGCACATGTGAAGGTTGCGGTGAGCACGGCCGTTGCTGCTAGAGGGCGGCTGCGTGAAGAGGACCGAGGTGTTGTTGCCGCCGGCTTTGGCGAGCACCGTCTTCGCCAGTTCGAACATAAAGTGAGCCGACGCTTCCGAGGGCTGGTTCGGTATGATCGGATAGTGTCCTCGCTTGCCCTTGTACCGCATGTGCGGCTTCAGGTGGCTGATGTGACTGCTTCCCTGGAGGTAGGTGCTGCCGCTGTTGTTGTTGTTCTTTGGCATTGCCCCACCCACCAAACTTCCAGTGGACATGCTCTGTCGAGAGTAGCTGTTTCCACAGGAATTCGCCGTCGGCGCCGGAGAGTTGGTCACCGTCGCGGCAGGAGTACCATTCCAGCCATTAGGAGCCATGTACGCGGCGTTAAAGGACTCAAAGGTGGACCCTCTCGACTGACCATTGGTCAAGTCAACGATAGTAGGAGGCGTCCCAGAGAGGTGGTGGTCACTGTAGGTCATCTCCGCTGAAGTGGACGCGGCTCCCTGGAGAAGTCCACTACCAACACTGCTGCTGCTGATGCTGTGATGCGGTGACAGGTGGTGGTGAGGTGTGGAGGAGCTCGAAGATCCAGCGACCAGGTTTGATCGATGAATAGGTGAGCACTTCTTCTCCGTAGAGGAGCTGGAGCTGAAGGAGTCACTGCTCTCACCACTGCTGCTGCTGTCGCTGGCCGACTGTTGTTGCTTAGAGGATGACGATGCCTGGAAGAGACTTCGTCGACTCACTGTAGGAGAGTTGTCCGAACTGGCCGTCTCCGGAGGACTGCTGCTGTCCACGCTGGAGCTGGTCGCAGTGCCGGTTGCAGCTGTTGACGAATGGTCAGTGTTGGGCGCCACTTTTGAGCTGCCATTCACTGCTGAGCTGACCACATTCACCGGCTGAGATGTAGAGGCGGTGCTTCCTTCATTCAGACTCAGACGTCTAAACTTGGCATCCCAACTTTTGATTCCCTCGTCCCAGTTGCTGGTAGAAGTAGAAGCTGTTGCTTGCTGCTGTTGTTGTTGTTGTTGAGCAGCCTCTGATGTGGAAGCAGCAGCAGCAAGTGCATTGGTCTCTAGTGCCTGATAGTTCGGACACTGCTGAACACTTCTCGATGGACTGCTGTGCGAAGACAGCACCTCTCCTCCGCTGTGGTACTGCGTCGACGGAAGTTTGGTCAGCGTGTTTGCCACCTCATTGAGCATGTAGTTGTTGTTGTGGTTGTGGTTGGAGAAACTGCTACCTCCACCACCACCGCCTCCACTGTTTGACTGTGACCTTCGGTTGATCATATGAATCTCCTTGTCGAGCAGCTTGTCCATGATCTTATTGAGGCGGTCTTTGCTGTCCTTGTAGTAGACGAGCAGCGTCAGTGCGAGGTCGCCTCGCTGCCGCCTTGTGCCCTCACACAGCAGCGGATGGTCCGCCTCGCTGACGTTCGCCTTCAGGCCGATGGCCGCCACCGAGGCCTCAAAGGCCAGTCGCTCGTCAGTGGGCAGGCGAATAGCCGTCGGCAGAAAGGAAGTGTGCACAGTGCTCAGCTCGTAAGCAGCCGACACCGGTCCCTGGCCGGTGGAGAGGACCAGCGCGTCGAAGATGTAGCCGGCAAGAATGAGCGGCAACAGCGCCTCGCCCCTGCTCGTCAGCCGGCCATCTCTCAGCTGTTCGCCCTTCTCCCTGAGCACCGCCAGGGCGCGCGTGCACAGCGGAATGCGCTTCAGCGAGTTGACCAGCTCCTGCTCCTGGTTGGCCAGCTTCACCTCCAGCGCCTTCGTGGAGGCCGGCGGTCGGACGAGCTCCAGGCCGAGCAGGCCCACGTAGAAGGCCAGCAGGTGGGAGTCCTCGTGTTCACTGAGCACCGAGCAGAGGAAGGCCGCCTTGGAGAGGGTGGCAGAGGCGAGCAGGGAGATCTGGTGCAGGGCCGGGTTGAAGCGGTTTCGAGGGGCTCGTTTGACGTGCGACCGACCGTTCAGCATGTTCATGCCACTGCCATTCGATGAGGTGGATGCCGTCCGCCCTGAACTGGTCGATGCGAGTTGCTGCTGATCACCACTGCCGCCGCCGTTCTCCAGCGTCAGCACCGGCGGTCGATTGAGCAGCTCCTCGGCGAGTCGAACCGACAGCTGACAGGCCTCTTTCACGTATCCGTGCGCGTAGAGGGCCTCTGCCCGGGAGAAGAGAATCTCAAATGAGTCCTCAATCGGCTTGACCGTGGCGGCGGCCAGCAGCTCTGGATCGTAGTTCTTCATCGAGTCGCCACCGCCACCTCGACCACTGCCCGACAGTGCGCTCTTCACATTCTGCCCGGCAGTACTGTACACGTAAATCTGATAGTCGGCGTCGGCATTACTGGGTCCTGCAACGGCAGCAGCAGCTGCTGCATCTGCCTGAGCAATGGGAATGCTTCCTTCTGCCCTGGGCCTCGCGCGATTGAGCACTTCATCACTGCCTCCACTTGCCGAGCTGACTCGGTCCCAGTTGTCGTTGTTTCCCGAGTCCTCCGAGTCATTCAGTCGTCGATTCACAATTTCTGCTCCCGTGCCAGAGCCCTCCTCTTCGCCGCCTCCATTGGCGCTGCTCTCCGTGGATGACTGCTTACTGAATGAGCCACTTCCAGCGGCCCCCGCCGTCAGCTTGGACGACCACGGCGTCATCTTCACAGTGCCACTGATGGCATGGTTTACCGAGCTGGTGTTCGTGCTGGCGGCATTAATGCTTGGGCAGTACGGATTCCGATGAGCGTTAGTGACGCCCGAAATCGGGTACGTCGTCCAGTCGATGAGACAGCTGATCATCGCCGGCTTAAATCCGCCAAAAATCTCAATGTCAGCCGTCTTGACGATAGACCCGTTTTGCTGCTGCTGCTGCTGATGATGACTTCCATTCTGATGTCTTGCGCCGGACACTCCCGAGTTGCTGGCGCTGATCACCATTTCCAATGTCTGCAGGTGGTACTCGCGAAGCTGCTCAAAGAGAAACGCCGTGTCCTGGGCAGACAGCGCCGGATTGAGCGTCACCAGTCGCCAGAGGACGACAATCTCATCACAGAGCGAGCTGCAGGCGTGCTGACTGGTGTGATTGTTTGAGTGAATACTGCTGCGATTGTTGTTGTTGTTTCCATTACCACCGCCTCCGCCGCCGCCGCCATTACCACCACCACCTCCTCCAAGACTGCTGGGTGGATATCCCCGGTGGAGACTGACGTTGGTGTTGAACCACCAGAGGAGAATGGGCCCGCAAGCCAGTATCTCCTCGGTGAGTATTTTTAGCAGTGGTATGTAGTTGCGGTCATGTCGGCGGAGCATCTCCCGGACGATTGAGAGCAGGTTCCAGAGGCCTTCCGGCTCGCGGCCGCGCAGTGGTCGCAGCAGGCTGGTCCACTCGCTGGCCGCCGGCGGCTGCGTCGAGCTGAGGTAGTTCACGTCGCTGTAGACCATCGGCGAGGGGATGCACAGCTTGATGAGAATCTTGCGAATGTTGTCGTGCAACTGGTGCTCGTCCAGGCACCACTTTGTCTGGTCGTGGATGAGCGCGCCCGCCGTCGGGTCCGGCGCCCCCCAGACGCTGTTGATGGCGCTGTCCAGGTTGAGCAGCTCGTCCAGCAGGCGCTGCGCCGTGGGCAGAATCTGCTGCGGAAATTCGTTTATGAGGTACTGGGCGAACTTCTGCAGCTGCGTCTGGTTCAGTCGGGAGAGAGACTCGGTGATGGGCGCTCGCAGGCTGACGGTGGTGGGCTGATTGAGAGGGCAGAAAACAGTGGTTTAGAGCACAATATTTTCACAAAAAGAAAACAAAAAATGCAAACCTGAAAGATCCGGTGCAGGCAGACGGCGACGACATGCGAGCACCAGGAGGAGGAGCAGACACAGGTGCAGCTGCAGGAGGTAATGCGACCGCGATCGAAAGCCACCGCCACAGTGCAAGGTTTGAGGGTTTGGGAGGTGACGACGGTTGCGCTCAGGTGAAAGCCTGAAAGGAAATGAAATTAGGCATACTGAGGTCATAACCGAGAAAGGATATTTTTAAGGCAAAAACTCACCAATCTGCAGGAGATTCTGCACAGTTCGACTGCGGTAGAAGTTCTCGCCCTTCTGGAACTCATCGGCGCTGCCATTGGCGAGGCAGCTGTACAGGCGAATGTCCTCCTCGTTGTCGGGGAAGCTCCAGAAGGCGATTCGCAGCTGCAGCTGCTCGGGCACCGGCGGCTGGTAGCGCTGCACCACTTCAAAGGGGATGTAGGTGGCGACGACGCGCGAGGAAAGCTCGGTAAGCGAGGAGACGGCGCTGCCGGACGCTGTGCAATTGGGGGGGGCAAAGTGAAAATGATTAGAGACATTTTTTCTCAAACTGTAAAATACTACTGCTAAAAGTGCTAAAAATCGTTTTAAAAATTATCCCAATATCATTTCCTGCACTGTGACAGTGCATTTCCCATTCCTCATCTCTCATTCTGCCTCTCTCCTCTCCTTTCGAAAGGGTCTGCCTTAGCGCCGCCGTTAGGTGCTGTTGCTGTGACACGCAAACAGCGGCGACAGTTGTGCAATGCAATAAACAGCAGACGCCGCATCAACGACCCCGCAACGCGCAATAGTGCACTGCGCCCAGGCGGAGTAGCTGTGGTCGGTCGTTTGCGCGGGGCTATCGGCATTGCGAGGTGAGAGGCAATGGGTCGACGGCCGTGACCAAGGACACGGTCGCAGTAAGCGAGCGAGCAACTCGCAGATAGGGATATTCCGTTGCAGTCGATCGATAGGGATAAAGCGAGAGAGAGAGAGAGAGAGTGGGGAAGACTTTGACTATGGTAAAGCGGAGTGCAGTCACTCCAGTCCACTACTCACCTCGCAGTGATGAATTGAGAATCTCATATGTGGGAGATGAAGGTCGGTGGGGGTTGAAGAGGTGGTGCTGCTGGTGGAGGGGGTGGCCGCCGCCCTGATGACCGGCTGATGCGCCCACCGGCACTCCACCGCCGGCACCGGCGCCGTTCGCCGGCGAGTTGACGATCTCCGCAAAGGAGGAGGCGGCGGCGGCGGCAGAGGCGGACGCAGTGGCCACCGCCGCCGCCAGTTGCTCGGCCATTGACTGCGGCCCGACGATATTTCCACCTCCACCACCTCCGCCGATCGCCCGGTTCAGGGCGACTGCTGCGGCGGCACCAGCAGAGACGTAGCCGACGAGTCCACCTGAGGTGCCGGCGCTGGTGGACGGTCGGCCAAAGGCGGCCAGGCCACTATTGTGGTGGGCAGCGCCGCCGGAGCTAGTGCCAGCAGCACCAGCAGGTGAGCCACCGCTGGGCGCCTTCTTCCAGCCTCGCCAATTGTTGCAGACTGACTCCGGTTCGCTCATCCACGAGTCGTCCTCCTCAAAGGGATCACTGTCGCCCCAGCTGTAGACGTCCGTCATGGCTGCTGCTGGGAAAGTGTGGTGAGGCGATGCGGTTGATGAATGGTGGTGAAATGATCAATTCTGATACAGTTGTGCAAATGAAAAATCACAGTGTGTAGGAGACAAGTTCTAGAGCCGTAGTAGTAGTAGTTGTTGTTGAAGAACGCGAATACTGATCTCCAAAATGATGCAAACGCAACAGAGCAATTGCAACAAGAAGACAATGCTCCAAACTGCCTCCACTGCAGTGTCCTCCTGGACACGCAACGAACCAATTCAGAGATGCCTTTCTTAGAGCAGCAAAGAACTGTCAGGATGAGGTGGTGGTGGTGATGGTGATGATGATGCCTTCCATCGGATAGGTGGGGCTGCTTGTCGATTCTGTGTTTCTGCCGCCGACGACTGGGATGCTGCTCCCTCCTCTGCCGCTCAGTGAATGCTTGGGGATGGGGATGCTGCGGGCCTCAGTGTGCTGGGAAAGACCGCAGAAGCTCTCCAGCAGCTAGCTCACTTCAGAAGAACTGACACACAAAGAACAGAAATACACTGAGAGAGGGAAAGAGCACAGCTGCGCGAGGGCGAACAGACCGCGCAAGCTGCTGCTACTACACAGTGGCTTCGGCTTCGCTTCACGGTGCAAGCTCGTCGAGCGGAGAGGTGAGAAAGCTGCTGGCTTGCCTGCTCTCTCTCTCTCTCTTTCGCTCTTCTCGCTCAAGAGATGCCGAAGGCGAAGAAGCAAACTGAACGAACTGTGATGATCAGATGGTTGTGCTGCTGCTGCTGTGATGCTCAGTTCTACTTGGCAGGCAATGAAGACGATGCAGCAGTCCTCCTTGGCAGTTGGCTCGCACAGTTGCCGGAGATGCCGCTGCCAGCTTTCCTGAGATGCTCAGTAAATAGATGCGGTAGAGAAGAAGAAGAAGAAGAGGGAGCGCTGGAAAAATTGAGATCAGAACCGGAGAACAGGCGAGTTACAGAAGACAGAAGACAGTAAAAGAGGGAGAGAGAGTGCCGCGACCAAAGTCCAATCGTGGGTGCTCTCCGTGTGTGCGTTTAGTCTTCGCTCATTGACACTGCTGCTGCTGATCAAAGAAAAATAAACACCATCTCGATGATCTCCTTCTTCTGCTTTTTTGGTGCGAGCGCCGTGTTGCTCACGCCGTGTAGCAGTCGCGGANAGAGGAGAAGAAGAACAGAAGACAGTAAGAGAGGGAGAGAGAGAGTGCCGCGACCAAAGTCCAATCGTGGGTGCTCTCCGTGTGTGCGTTTAGTCTTCGCTCATTGACACTGCTGCTGCTGATCAAAGAAAAATAAACACCATCTCGATGATCTCCTTCTTCTGCTTTTTTGGTGCGAGCGCCGTGTTGCTCACGCCGTGTAGCAGTCGCGGAAATTGAATCAGTCCACAGACAGGAGGCATACTACAGGCATACTTGAGTGATGATGAATGGGTGGTGGCGATGGTGGCGAAGAGGCATCAGCGCCAAAGAGAAGGAAGCAGCGACAGTGGTGCTAGGCAGAATAGACCAAAATAGACCAGCTTGCAGAAAAAAGAAGTGTCGAATGGTAATGGGGCGAGGAGCTGGAGATACTGCTGGAACTTACGTTGTTGCAGAGAGCAGTGTTGAGCTAATGGTCACTGCTTCACGGGCGCTTCACTTCATTTACCTGCCGATCAGTGTGACTGACAGGCAAAACGGCGGTGTGCTTCGGTGACAATCGGCGGATGATAATCGTTGATGTTGATGCCTCGGCTGTACGACGGCAGTGGTGTGGAAGTTGAGGTGCCAGTACAGTGCACCAGCAATCGATGGCGCCCAGTTCGATGCTCCTGCTGCTCCTGCTGCAACTCCAACTGTCAACAACGAACACACACTGTCACACAACTACAGACAGTCAAACACGTTCAGCACACTACACAGCAGCTGGAGGATTGTTGGTGGTGATTCTTTGCACAGTCAGCCAAGTAGAGCTTAAGGATTCAGCATCGGCGACTTCTGGCTGATCATCATCGTCCAGTGATGGCTTCCCGACCAAATAAGCACTACTAATCCCCCTCTCCTTGTTGTTCAATTCTCTCAATGCCCAAAAGTTGATGTACAGAGTGAGCGAGAGGGAGGGGAAGAGAGAGAGAAAGAGAAAGAAAGAGACAAAGACAGTGGCAGCTCTCGAGGAGTCGAGGACAACGACGGCAACGACGACAAAAACAGACGAGAGGCAGAGGAAAAGAAAAGACTGCTTCTCAATGCAGAGAGAACTGTGCTGCTGCTGCTGCTGCTGCCTTCACCGCTGAACGGCAACAAAGTTGTTTGCTGCTACTGCTGCTGCTGTAAATGAAGAAAAACGTCGACTGAAGACTGTGGAGTACGAACAGGCAGTAGAGACAGGGAGACAGTCAGCTGCAGGAGGACACACAACCTCAAGACGGCGGCTTCAGTGCTGAATGGTTCTTCTTCTCCTAAGCGTCCTGCTCGATGCCAAATGGGCAAGAAAAGCGGCAGTCCGCGGAGTGTGGCTGCTGTCGACTCCAACGTCAGACGACCGACCGACCGACCGCACAAGGAGGGGTCACGAGCGGTGAGTGCTACTGCTGCTGCTAGTGTGATGGTCGTGGTGGTGGAGGCAGTTCAGGCAGACAGCAGAAGTGGCCAGGAAAACAGTACTAGAGGCCAGTGCACCGCCACAGTCCACACAATGACGACACTGCAAACTCCACTCTTCCCGTTGAGGAATCGAGGTAAGATGCTAACTGATGATAACTGCTGATGATTGGCCAGTGAAGAAAGGCAAAGAGAGAAAATGAAAAATGAAAACAAAGCCTGCACGACTGGAAGCAGCGGAAGAGTCACCGTGGTGGCCGTGAATCGTGGAATCGTCGGCTGGCTGGCTGGCTGGCTGCCAGTGTCCTCCACACAGTGGCCACTGGCCTTGCCAAGAGTGAGAGGAGGAGAGAATCCTCTGTGTGCGTGAGAGAAGACAATGGACTCTGTGCTCTAGCTCGAGCTCGACGCATGGATCGATATGCCGGTTCACTGTTCTGCCGAAGCTGCTATAGAGAACGTAAAAGAGAGTGTGAGCCTTTGCCGGTGCACCGCAAAAGCTGGAAGTACAGTTCCACAATTGTAGCAACTCGATACAATGTTTCAGCAGCAGCAGTGCACTCGGTGCACTCGATGGCGATGCCAGGAGACAAGGATAGAGAGAAAAAGAGAAGATCCTCATGGGATCTCCCTCTGTCCTTGCGCGCATCCTCCAAGAGCACGAGTGGAGCACGGGCGGGCATTGCCTAACACACAACAATCAGGCCGAGGACTGAGTGGCCTTGGCGGCGGCGGCGGCGGCGGCGGCGGCGGCTGCTGGTGATCGGTCCGTCGTTTCTAATAGTCTTCACTTTGAGCAGTGAACACTGCCTAGTTGATGAGCAGTACTAGCCTGTTGAGCATTCTCCATATAGAACTGCAGAGAGTGAGAGACTCATAACCAACTGCAACTGGACATTGCGACATCGGCGCAATCATGGCGCAATATCATAACATATCGGCAGGCAATGAACCCTGATTGCAGCGTTGTAGATCGAAACGAATTGGCTGGCAGAGAAGCTGACGGCTGTGCCATCGATTTGCATAGTCACGGCCATTTACTACCGAGTGTGCAGAGAGTGGTCAGAGTGGGCACTTCCAGGAAGGGACGTGCTGATGAATAGCCAAAGTGGTGGTAAAAGAAGTAGTTCTGTCGCTGTCCATTTAAGTGACTGTTGAGCCCCCTCACTCTCTCCAGCGGGCAAACCAGTGTGCTGACAGTGTGGCTGACCTCACGTCTGCGTCTCTCGGTCGGACGGGCAGACTGAGACTTGGACGTGTCGTCAAACTGGGTCCACACTTCGAGCGATAAATGAGTGCGCAGACGGGCGATGAGGTCAAACGGACCATACATCTCAAATGTAATAGAGGCAGTCAGACGGGGGACAGACGGGAAGGGAGACCTAGTTTTAGAGGCCTAAGGGCAAAGACTGTTAATGGCTTGGCAAGCTCTTTTCATTGTTGCTTGACGCTCAGGCTATAAATTACATTTTGCAGATGAATGTACATTGACTTGCAATCACTATGGTTCGGACTAATTTCTAAATATACTTGTAGATGAGGGCATCGCGACGTTCTGTCGTGTGTACATCTACTTTCACCGGACACTTGAGAATGCGTGACAAAATCTCCTCCGTGTAGCCAATCAGCCAGTAGTACTTTCGTGCAGGAATGCCCATATGAACGATGCCGTTGATGGTGATTGTGTTTGCCCGTCGCTTGATAATCACCTCTGAGAGAAAGATTCGGTGCCAAGTCCCCGCAAGAAAGGAGCGAATGAAGATGTCGTCCACGGTTATATCTGGTGCGGTGTGTTCAGCACCAGTTACACTGCTCGTGTTCCAGCTGTTCCATCCCTTGCGAACGCCAATGTAGTGGGGCTTGTTTGCCTGTTCATAGGTCAGAGGTCGGTTTCNCACGGTTATATCTGGTGCGGTGTGTTCAGCACCGGTTACACTGCTCGTGTTCCAGCTGTTCCATCCCTTGCGAACGCCAATGTAGTGGGGCTTGTTTGCCTGTTCATAGGTCAGAGGTCGGTTTCGCTTCAGTGTCACCTTGTACCGACCAGCTTGGCACTTTGGGCGACTTTGATTGACGGCGACGGTGGTGGTAGCACCTGGACCAGCCAGGCTAAGCAGCTTTGATGTGCACTCCGAGACGCCCATCGGTCGGAAGATGCTTCCACATGTCGGTGGTAGCAGTCGGAGGATCATCGTCAATGGTGGAAAAGAGAATGACCAGAAGACGATAATCAAAATCAAAACACAGAAAGCGAACTTCCACAACAAATAAACATGTGCATTTGTCGGTTCACAATGCGTACGTACACTACTAAAACCCCTTAACTTTTTTTTGCAGCTACGTAACGTCAGCTGCTTGAGAGAGGCGCTCACAAGATTAGGTTCTCTTTTCTCTCTTTTAGCTGACGAGTCCGTCTGTGCTCTTCACTTTTAGTCATTTTCTCCTTCATTGCCACACAAAACCTGCAGCTTTCACCACATCATCCGCATCAGAGATGTTTCTTCTTGACTTTTTCACAGGAGTCCTTGGATTTCTCGGTAAGTGCTTCAGGGGGTGCGGTGGAGCGATCCACATCGAGGAAGACCACCTCAGTAAAGCAAGGCGACTAATGTTGCAATCTCCCTCCTCATATCTCACCTCCTTCCTCGTCATCATCGACGTCTTCAGGACTCTACAAGAAGAGCGGCAAACTGCTTTTTCTAGGTCTTGATAATGCGGGCAAAACGACGCTATTACATATGCTCAAGGATGACAGAATGGCTCAACATGTGCCCACTTTACATCCGAGTAAGTGTGCGGGTTCAGCCGCGACCTGGAGATTTCGCCGACAACAGGTGCTGACTACCTTTTCTCCTCTCTCTTCCTCATACCAGCATCTGAAGAGTTGTCAATTGGCAACATTCGCTTCACCACTTTCGACTTGGGTGGCCATACTCAGGCTCGACGCGTCTGGAAGGACTATTTCCCCGCTGTGGATGCCATCGTCTTCCTGATTGATGTCTGCGATCGAGAACGCATGCTTGAGTCGAAGGAGGAACTGGACGTAAGTCGTTTCTAGTGCTATTTGCAAAGGATGGTCTCAAATGAATGAATCATCACCTGTTTAGGGTCTTCTTTGCGACGAGCAGCTGTCCAACTGCCCAGTGCTCATTCTCGGCAACAAAATCGATAAACCGGGCGCTTTCAGCGAAGAGGACATTCGCCACTTCTTTAACTTGAACAACCAAACTACTGGAAAGGTAAGAGAAACTGCTACTCACTTTTACCTGCTTTGGTCTAACTCGCTTTCACCCTTTCCTCAGGGGAAGATCGCTCGCTCTGAGCTTCCCGGTAGGCCGCTGGAGCTTTTTATGTGCTCCGTTCTTCGACGCCAAGGCTATGGCGAAGGCTTCCGCTGGCTGTCGCAGTACATGAACTAAAGAAAAGAAAAGCTTTTATCTAACATCGCACTTTGCCATCTCGCGATCACAAGACAACAGCACTTTTTGGCTGTTGTTGTACATGTCTCCTTCTCTCTCTCTCTCTACATGCTCCCTCTCTGGCTACTGCTGCAACACACACAGACAGACAGACACAACCAGTCATCTGTTTACAAATTGATAATCCTTCTTATGTGTTTATTTGTCTGCCTGAATTTAAAATGAAAAGAAAAATCTTACAAGTTTTACGCTTTTTAAGTAATCAGATAGTTATGTGGTGACAAACTCTAGGCGCTCGGCTTGGACAACAAGTAGGCTTTCACTCCGGCAGCATCTCGCTTCATCACCGCGGCATTCAGGCGAATGGTCTAAAGAGAGGAAGAACGTGAAACCGAGAATTAATTCAAAGTTCAAAGTTTCAGATATAAGAAAAAACTGCGTACCTCAACCGCCTGCTGCACCGTTCGCTCGGAGCCGGGAAAGGCGTTCTCCTTGAAGAAGGTCTCCACTTCGTTGGCCCTCTCCTCCGTGTTGAAGTGCTCCGTAACCAGCTTAATCAGTCGACAGATGAGCGACCCGGCGTCGTAACGCTCAATGAACAGCTTTCGGTTCTCTTTGAAGAAGCTCCAGGCCAGGTCACGACCGAGCGGATTGTTGGCGATGGAGCCAATCACAAAGACGCTGTCCTGCGAGCGGACTTCCTCCTGACAGAGCAAAAAGAATGAACAGGTGTTAGTCAGTAAAAGAAATCAGTTAGCAAAACGGAGACAAGTGCACTTACACAGATGGAAAACTTGAGCACCTTCTCAATCATCGGCAAACTCTTGAGGTGTCCCAGCGAGGTGGAGAGGCGATTCTTCTCCTCCTGCATGTCCGACTCGCGGTACAGCTTCATCAGCGTCTCGTAGGAGACGTCATCGCTCTTGTGGGCGACACTGCGGTACACCGGCACACGCAAATCGGCGATAATGGCCTTCTTCTGCTCCACCTGCTCCTTGAACATCTCCCGGCAGTGGGCGAGCACTGCCTCATCCTCCAGCGTGACCAGGCGATTGATGACCAGCGAGCGCAGCAGCGTGTCCAGGTGGGGCTCACTGGGCTTGGGCTCCCAGCCGACGTGGGGGAAGGCGCTGTTGGTCAGCAGGTGGCGGCAAAAGACGCGATACGCCTGGTGGAAGTCAGTGCCGGCAAAGAGCTGGTCAAACTTGACGATGATCATGTTCAGAGCCGACCAGACGGTGTAGTCGGTCTCCTTCTCAAAGGCGGCGATAAACTTGAGCAGATCGACGGTGCTCTGCTTGCCGGCAATGACTAGCGCGTACAGGTCGCTGAGCAGTCCCAGGCGGTCAAGGGGCGGAATTTGCTGCGAGACAATGGCCGGCACAAACTTGTCCAGCATCTCGGAGGTGTACTTGACGCGGTACACGCCTACACTGCCCGGATTCAGCTTGAACCACTCATTGGCCCCCACTTCAATGTTCAGCTGCGTGGTGCGAGACTCAAAGAGCGTCTCGAGGATGGGCTTGCCGCCAGAGGACTGCGAGACCACCTCCAGTGGCACCGCCCACAGTGACTTTTTGTCCTCCTCCGAGAGGACGCCAGTCAGGTTAAACTTCTCCTGCTCCAGGACAAATGCGCCTGAAGAGCCAGTAACGGAGATCACTGGGTATCCTTTCTGCTGAGTCCAGGTAGACATTACTCGACGAACGGGCTTCTTGCTCGCCTCCTCTAGTGCGTCCCAAAGATCTGTGAATTAAAAAAAGGGACATTTTAATGCCTTGTGTCGCGTTGGTTACCCCCACTTACCTTCAGTCTGTGTATTCTTATAACTCCATTTGGTCAGGTAATGGTTCATGCCTTCGCGGAAAGTCTAGGAAAAATGTTTGTTGGTTAGCTGAAGTATTCTGCAGTAAAGAAGCACTACTCACATCATCTCCAAGGTACTTGTGGAGCATTCGAATGACAGAAGCTCCCTTGTTGTAGGAAATGTCATCAAAGATTTCATCAACTTCAGAGGGATGGCCGACGGGCACTTCAATTGGGTGCGAGTTCTCCAGACCATCGAGCTCCAGCGCCTCCAGATAGGTGTCAGACACAAATTGAGTCTGTAATGAAAAACATTCAAATCAAATATGATGCAGTTTGTGAAAGATCATAAGATAATCTTACAAAAATGTTGAATTCCGGGAACAGTTTCTCAACGCAGATGTACTCAACAAAAGACGCGAAACCTTCGTTCAGCCAGAGGTGAGTCCACCATTCCATCGTCACCAAGTTGCCTGTTGGGAACGAAAGTTTTAATACTAATAAACGATGATGATGAGAAATGACTTACCGAACCATTGATGAGCTAAATTCAGGATAATTGATATTAGATAATTTCACCAAAAGCCATTTCATTGCAGCCATATCATCGCAGATAAAAAATAAGCAAAAGGGCCTGTCGGCAAGCTTTCTGCTTATTTTGAATCTGCGATGAATGGCCCCGAAATGAAATGGTTTGTAACTAAAAGATAATAATACCTAGTTCATGAGCGATAACCAGTGCAATCTGAAATAGTATCAGAATTAGATCATTACAAAACAAAAAATGCCAAAACCGACCCATTGTTTTCGAGCCGTTGAAGTGTTGTTAGGATCCACCAGCAAGCAGGTTTCACGATAGGTTACCAAGCCCCAGTTCTGTAAAAAAGTAATGAAAAATTGAAAAAAGTGCAATTGCACGTAAACGAGTCTAACCTCCATTGCTCCGGCGGCAAAGTCGCTAATGGCAATGAGATCAATTTTATNGTAATGAAAAACTGAAAAAAGTGCAATTGTACGTAAACGAGTCTAACCTCCATTGCTCCGGCGGCAAAGTCGCTAATGGCAATGAGATCAATTTTATCCAGAGGATACGCGATCTTGAAGTACTTGTGGTAAAAGTCCAAAGCTTTACCGGACATCTCCAGCGCAAAACGACATTGTTCGATTTTCCCAAAAGGAGCGTACACACGAACTCTGACACCATCTTCAGATTTTGTTTCAATGAAATCATACTCGCCGACAATGAAAGCAATCAGGTAGGTGGACATGATGGGTGTGCGATTAAAGCGAACAGACTTGGAGTTCTCCTTGACACTCTCCGATTGAACAGACATGTTCGAGAGGGCAATAGTTTTCCCATCGTCAGGAATTACCAGCGTGACATCAAAAGAGGCTTTTATAGCTGGCTCGTCCCTGAAGATTACAAGGAATTGGTTTAGTGATTTTATGCTTTTCTTTTGAGTGAATTGGAACATACCAGCAAGGAAAAGCTCGACGAGCGTCAGTGGCCTCAAATTGAGTAACGGCCGCATACTTGTTTTCCCCATCGGTACTGTGGTACTTGGAGCGATAAAAGCCCTTCATCTTGTCGTTCAGAATACCTAAAACAATTTATTAGATAGCGACAAACACTAACTAGTATTTCGCACAACTTGCCTGTAAAGGTAAAGCTTAGAAGAGCATCGCCGGGAACCAGCGTTTCCTTAAAGTGCAGCGTCGTAGTTTCATTCTCGACACTAGTTTCGATCTTTTCAACGTCAATGGATTTATCGGTGCCATAAGAGAGGACGAGACTGTCCTTCTTGATGACAATCTCATTGGTGTTGAAGACAATGGTCTGCGTGGCTTCATTCACTTTAATGCTTATCTTCTCGGTGCCCTCAAAGGTGAAGGCTTTCAAATCAGGCTTCAACGTCAAATCATAAAGGGTGGGCGAAACGTTCTTCGGCAGTCGTGAAAAGGGCTTCTTCTCAGGGGCCATGTTGCTCAAGTGACAGTTGAGACGGAAGCTTACGCGAATCGGCAAATACGAGGATGATGTGCGTCTACAGAGCAATGGCACTACAAAGTGACGTAGAGTAGCAGACACTGGCGGCAGCAGAGTGTGATGCGGCAGAATGTGTTAGGTGAAAAATGAGACGAGATAACGCAAACTAAAGTTCTAAGTGTCAGCGGCAGGTTGTCAGCGTTAGAGTCCGAGAGGAGTCTGGGCTACTTACTTGACCGGGGACAAGGAGGTCAACTGTCACNGTGCTCAAGTGACAGTTGAGACGAATGTTCACGCGAATCGGCAAATACGAGGATGATGTGCGTCTACAGAGCAGTGGCACTACAAAGTGACGTAGAGTAGCAGACACTGGCGGCAGCAGTGTGTGATGCGGCAGAATGTGTTAGATGAAAAATGAGACGAGATAACGCAAACTAAAGTTCTAAGTGTCAGCGGCAGGTTGTCAGCGTTAGAGTCCGAGAGGAGTCTGGGCTACTTACTTGACCGGGGACAAGGAGGTCAACTGTCACAGTGGGCGAGAATGAACTTTGAGTGAAAACTGAGATTGGCGACTCGGGGCCGAGAAAGAGAACTGACAATACAAATGGCAGACGGCTTTTCTTTTCTTCCACTGTGCGTGCCGAAAGACAGAAGCCTGTAAAGTGTTTGGGTGCTAGATGTGCTGAGCGTACCCGGTGTGGTGCGTTCTCCGTAAGCGTACGTTTCCTTTCTGTGTGCTACGACCACAATCGCTCAGTGCTGCACAACACCCTCGTTCNGTGGGCGAGAATGAACTTTGAGTGAAAACTTGGGCAGAGATTGCTGACTCGGGGCCGAGAAGGAGAACTGACAATACAAATGGCAGACGGCTTTTCTTTTCTTCCACTGTGCGTGCCGAAAGACAGAAGCCTGTAAAGTGTTTGGGTGCTAGATGTGCTGAGCGTACCCGGTGTGGTGCGTTCTCCGTAAGCGTACGTTTCCTTTCTGTGTGCTACGACCACAATCGCTCAGTGCTGCACAACACCCTCGTTCCGCCCCATTTTTTGGCGATTTTTTAAAGGGACACCATTTCCACACTGTCGTTGTTTCTGCTGTTTTCAAACTGAAATAGTCGCCAACTTGTCGATAATTTTTTGACATAAAAGGAGGCGCATTTATCCCATTTATCGCCATTCTTCTCTCTTTCACCAACTGGTGCAATCCCTTTCCAATCACGACCTTCTACTATCCTTGAGTTTCTGAAAACATGGCCAACGAGAAGAAGCCTTTCTGTCGCCTTCCAAAGGCTGTCACGCCGCGGAACTACGACCTAACTTTGAAGCCGAACTTGGACAGTTCTACCGTTGAAGGATCACTGGCTATTGCTGTACAAGTTCACCAGGAGACTAAATTTGTGACGCTGAACTCCGTCGACATTGTCATCAACGATGACCAAACGCTGTTTGTCAAAGTCGGCGATAAAAGTTTGTCAAATCCAAGTTTGCCGGTTATGCCGAATTTTACTTACCTTGCCTTTTACCATCCTTACAGCGATTTCCCATGAAGCAATTTCATACTCGGTGCCAGATGAGACGGTGACAGTGACCTTCAAGGAATCGCTGCCAGTTGGCGAAGCTGTCTTGAACTTAAAGTTCAGCGGGATCATTCAGTCGTCATTGCGTGGTTTCTACAAAGCCAAGTCTGGTGAAGCGACTGCAATGACTCAGATGGCTCCCACCGATGCCCGTCGTGCCTTTCCGTGCTTTGATGAACCGGCGCTCAAGGCTTCATTTGACATCACCCTCATTGTACCTACTGACCCGAAGATCAAGGCCCTTTCCAATATGGACGTTCTTGAGGAGAAGGTAGTCAACGGCTTCCGCGAGGTGCGCTTCTCTCGAACTCCGATCATGTCCAGCTACCTGGTTGCCTATGCAATTGGACAGTTTGACCGCATTGAGTCGAAGACCACTGATGGTGTAAAGGTGGGCATTTACACACCGGTCGGCAAAGCAGAGCAGGGAAGATTTGCTCTGGATGTAGCGGTCAAGTCCCTCGACTTTTATCGGGAGTACTTTGGCATTCCCTATCCGCTCAACAAATGTGATCTGATTGCCTACCCAGATCTTTCTTACGGCGCCATGGAGGTGAGAACTGACAGCTTTTTATTGAAAAACTTTCACCTTTCACTTATTTTTGTTTTAGAACTGGGGTCTAGTATCCTACCGCCAAAACCGCCTTCTCGTTGATTCAAACAACTCGAGCACAGCAACCAAACAGTCTACCGCATTGGTTATCGCTCATGAACTAGGTATCCGATCATTTCATTGCACATCCTTTTCATCGCAGATCAAAAATGAGCAAGAGGCCTGCCGGACTGGCCCTTTTTCTGCCAGACCACCTGCTTGTTTTTGATCTGCGATGAAAAGTCTTGAAATGAAATAGTTGCAATAGAATGCTTATAATCAATTTTATCATTAATATAGCTCATCAATGGTTCGGTAAGTCATTTCTTCATCATAATCCTTTATTAGTATTAAAACTTTTATTCTGAACAGGTAACTTGGTGACGATGGAGTGGTGGACACACCTCTGGCTGAACGAGGGCTTTGCCAATTTTATGGTACAGTACTGATTCGATTTACATTGGCCTTAAAGTTTGCTAAAATGATTTTATTGGACCTATTTCAGGAATATCTGTGCATCGATAAGCTCTTTCCCGAGTACAACATTGGAAAACTGTTTGTTTGCTATGAGTTTTTGAGGGCACTGCAACTTGATGGTCTTGACTCGTCGCACCCCATAGAAGTGCCTGTTGGACACCCTGCTGAAATTGACGAGATATTTGATGCTATCAGCTATGCAAAGGGCGCCTCTGTCATTCGAATGCTCTACCACTACATTGGAGATGAGGTAAATGAAGGATAATGCTGTTCCATCTGTACATTTTTAAACTTTAACCTATTTCAGGCTTTCCGTAAGGGCATGAATTTGTACCTCACAAAACACAGCTACTCTGTAAGTTGGAAAGATTTACTCAGCTTTACACCTCAATGTTTCACTAAACTTTTTTTTATAGAACACTGAAACGGAGGACTTGTGGGATGCTCTGGAGGAGGCTAGTAAATTGCCTGTCAAAAGCATCATGCGAAGCTGGACCTCGCAAAAGGGTTACCCAGTTGTCACTGTTTCAGTGAAGGAGAAGAAAGACAACAGCCAAACTATCAGCTTGCACCAGAAAAAGTTCAATCAAAGTGGAACTCTCTCAGAAGATGACAAGAAGTACCTTTGGTCGGTGCCCCTGTCAATCGTTTCGCAATCTTCTCCGCAAAACAAAGTTCCCCTGTCAAGCACACTCTTCAATACGCGAGAATTGACCCTTTCAGTAGAGATCCCTCCGTCTGACTGGTTTAAGTTAAATTTCTCTGCAGTGGACATCTACCGTACAAGCTACTCGTCGGAACTGTATGCTAAGTTAGCAAAGGGCATTACCGAAAAGCAAATTGCACCACTTGATCGATTGTCGATTCTTGATGATTTGTTCTCTTTGACCCTCGCTGGACAGCAGTCCTCGGTTGAACTGCTGAAGTTTGTCAACGCNCACCACTTGATCGATTGTCGATTCTTGATGATTTGTTCTCTTTGACCCTCGCTGGACAGCAGTCCTCGGTTGAACTGCTGAAGTTTGTCAACGCCTTTAAGGATGAAAAGGACTACACTGTCTGGTTTTGTTTGTCTAGTATTCTCCGCAAGTACAACCAACTGCTCGCCGGCACGACAATCCACGAAAAGTACCGCCAATGGGCAAAGGAGCTTATTAACAACGGCATCGGCCTGTACATCAGCTGGGAGGCAAAGACTGATGAGCCTCACCTCGAGAAGCTTCTTCGTTCAACTGTCATTTCGCTGCTAGTGAACTTGGAAGACGAGAAAACGCTAGAGCACTGCGTAAAGCTGCTCAAAGAACAACTCGACGGTGGAGCAGCAATTTCTGCTGACTTGCGAGAAACCGTCTACCGGGGCGCTGCTATGAAAGCCGATGTGACCGTTTTTGAGAAGCTGATTAAGGTATTTTTCGTTTAACTTTACTAAAAGCATTTGACCCTATTTTTCTTTTTAGATTTATGAAGAATCTGATCTTCAGGAGGAAAAGCTACGGGCTATTGTGGCTCTTGGAAGCGTTAAACAAGAGCAGCGAATCACTGACATTCTCCAGTACTCCATCAGCGACAAGGTTCGCTTTCAGGACTGCGTCAACCTAATCGAATCGCTGGCTGCCAACTCTGCCGCTCGTGAAGAAGTCTGGAAGTTCCTCACTGCTAACAAGTCCAAGTTTATCGAAATGCAGAAGCAGTCGGGAATTCTGTTTTCACGTGCTGTCAAAGCCATGCTGCACAACTTTTCATGTCATCAACGCGCAAACGAGGTGGATTCCTTCTTTCGCAGTAATCCTTTTGATGGTTCGGAGGTGCGATCAGTGAGTCAGGCAGTTGAGGTAAAAGCAAACTGTTTACTAAATTCAACATTCACTTAACGATTTACATTTTTGTTAATTTAGACGATTCACATCAACGCCGATGTTCTCGCTAGAGATCTAAAGTCATTGACGGACTTTTTCCAAGAGCTTTAAATGTACAAAACTGTGAAACATTGCAGCCCATAGTGAGTCCCCTGAGTGCCCTTTTTTCTATCCTTTTTCTAAAAACTTTCTTTACTTATAACCCTTAAAGTAAATTGTGCCCTCTGTCATTTCTTTTTATTTTCCGTGCAATTATAAA